ACAGGCGGCAGGCAAGATAGCTGGGGGCGGTAGAAAAAGGAGAAGAATGAGCGAGGGACAAGGGAGGCAAGAGAAAGAACGGGAAGAGATGAAACAGGAGTTTTGCACCCCACAGGCTAGGGCGCTCGCCTAATTATAAACACAGGTCTACTGGATATTAATTTATTACAGAAATCTATGCTGAGATACCCCCTAACCATATTAAATGCATATTCATCACAAAATATGACTTCCCTGGTGAGATATTGCGGATGCGCTAACACACTAACATAGCCAGATTGTGTACTGGCTGCTATATGCGGCGGGGAACTGCATGCAAAGTCTTCTTCGTGTTTCTTAAGAGAAGTCTACAGATAGAAATTTATTACAGAAATCTATGCTGGAATACCTCCTCTTCATTTTAAATGCATAATGTTTGCAAAATATTCTTTTTCTCGGGAGACATTGCGCATGCGCGAGCACCGTTTCAGGCGTGCAGTACTGGCTGAACAAAACTGCATAATATAGCTTGCTTAGAGAGCTAGAGAGGTGAGAGAGTGAGGACAGGCGGCAGGCAAGATAGCTAGGGCGGTAGAAGAAGGAGAAGGATGAGCGAGGGACAAGGGAGGCAAGAGAAAGTACGGAAGGAGATGAAACAGGAGTTTTGCACCCCACAGGCAAGGGCGCTCTCCTAATTATAAACACAGGTCTACTGGATATTAATTTATTACAGAAATCTATACTGAGATACCCCCTAGGGCCCTAACCATATTAAATGCATATTCATCACAAAATATAACTCATCTGGTAAGATATTGCGCATGCGCTACCACACTAACATAGCCAGATTGTGTACTGGATGGTATATGCGGCGGGGACCTTACATGCAAGGTCTTTTTCGTGTTTCTTAAGAGAAGTCTACAGATAGAATTTTATCATAGAAATCTATGCTAGAATACCTCCTCTTCATTTTAAATGCATAATGTTTGCACAATCTTTTTCTTCTCGGGAGATATTGCGCATGCGCGAGCTCCGTTTCAGGCGTGCAGTACGGACTGAACAAAACTGCATAATATAGCTTGCTGAGAGAGCGAGAGGGGTGGGAGACTAAGGAAAGGCGGCAGGCAAGATAGCTGGGGCGGTATAAGAAGGAGAAGGATGGGTGAGAAACAAGGGAGGCAAGAGAAAGGACGGGAGGGGATGAAATAGGAGTTTTGCACCCCACAGGTTAGGGCGCTCTAATAATTATAAACCCAGGTCTACTGGATATTAATTTAATACAGAAATCTATGCTGAGATACTCCCTAACCATATTAAATGCATATTCATCACAAAATATGACTTCTCTAGTGAGATATTGCGCATGCGCGAGCACCGTTTCAGGCGTGCACTACGGACTGAACAAAACTGCATAATATAGCTTGCTGAGAGAGCGAGAGGGTGGGAGACTGAGGAAAGGCGGCAGACAAGATAGCTGGGGCGGTATAAGAAGGAGAAGGATGGGTGAGAAACAAGGGAGGCAAGAGAAAGGACGTGAGGGGATGAAATAGGAGTTTTGCACCCCACAGGTTAGGGCGCTCTAATAATTATAAACCCAGGTCTACTGGATATTAATTTACTACAGAAATCTATGCTGAGATACTCCCTAACAGGGGCGGTGCCACAGGGGGGGGCAGGGG